ATGAAGCTTCAGTTATACAGTATATATATTAAACACGTATATTGTACTTTATACCCTATTGTGCTTATAATTTTCAGTAGATACGGTTTTTCTATACGATCATCTCCTTCATATATATTTTTTGATCCTGTGTGTGATCACAATTAGTTTATCTATTAAATAAGTTGGTTTTAAAGATTTTCTTTCTCTGTTATTTGGATTGACATCGATAGGAATTCGTAAGACTCTGATAATGTTTTCCCTCCTACTTCAACATTAATTTATAGCCCAAATATGCATGGTATAATTACTCCATTTTTCCTACGAATTCTAAAATTATATTTTAAGGGTTCCTAGCTAAAGAAAGTCTCCTGAAATAAAGGTGTTAAATAGTTTGAAAAGAAATTAATTAATGATAACTCACCTTTACCACAGGAGAATGAGACTAAACAACTCACCTTTAAAATTTTCTTAACATTTAGTCCAAAAACATATACAAAGAAACTCATCGATTAAATATCAAGCTTAATTTGTAGTGAAAATTAGTTTAAAAATATTACTTTCCGTTTGTTAAATGCTTTGTCGTTTTAACGATTTTTATTATGCTAAGAGTGATTATTCTTGCGTCCTCTATATGACAAAATGTTTTGTGAAAATAAAAAGGTTTTCTGCTATTTAAAAAGCTGCACTGCATTATTTGGATTCATAAGAATTTGAAAACATTGAGAAATATTAATTGATTTTAATATTTTTCATCTAGTTAGAAATATCTAGCCTTATTAGCTTTAAAAAAAATAAAGTTAGTTGTTCGTCCATATAATTCTTACCGTTCCCAGATTTCCTAACGGACAATATAGTACATTCAAGGTATTCTGTAAAGACTTCCTTTAAATGTATTTTTAGGATCCTTATCAAAAATGAAAAAGTATACACATGGGGGGTTTAAAATTATTATTTGACCGAAGAAAAAAAAATCGCTATTGAAATTTGAGAAATTACAGTACAGAAATAATTAAAATCAAGACAGGTTTAATTGGAGGTTCTCTTTGTTTCCTTTATTCATTAAATCTTCTTCCAGTACAATGTATTATCAAATTTTGAGAGTATTTTTTCTTCGCTTAAATATTAATTTGCCTATACTTATACTTTTTCGATTTCATTCTGATATCAAAGATCTTTACGGAACACAGTTATAGCTTAAATGTTCTTTGGCTTTCAATGTTTCGCATAAATACTACTATTTAATTGGCGCAAACAGGGTTGATACAAACATTTATTAACTGCAAAGAATCCCTAATTTAATAAAACTAATAAATGTACTAAAACTAACACACATTAGTCTTAATGAATGAGGTTAATATGAGACATTATTTTCTTAAGGGATTTTTAGCTAATTGTTTTAAATTTTATATAAAATATACAATCATGAAATTGAATGGAGAGGAAAGATATCGAGAGATACAAAAAGAATACAGTAGCTATGACATTTCGAAAGAATGAAAAAAGTTTATAACAACGGACCAAAACTGGGTTTATGAAAATGTGCAACGGAACTCCAAGAGCTGCGTTGAAATAACTGCCATTTTTTGGTATTTACACTACACACACCGACTTATGGCATGACAAAGATTTTTTAATCAAAGTAAATCGAAAAAGTACGCCAATCACCCCAATTAAATGGGTATTATTAATTAGGATTTTCAAAATGACAAGTATTTTTCTTAATAACATCATTTTAAGTAATTCATTTCCCTTTTAATCAATTATTTAATTTACAATTTCATTTAGCAATAACCGTGCCATCTATGAAAAGGTCTAAACCTGCAAATTGAATTGGAATATCTTTTTTGGAAGAATCCGATTCTGGAATAAAAAGTTCCGATTTCAGCACCCTAGAAGTAGAGTTTAGAAAATCAAGTTTTGTATCATTCGTGTATTTTTGAATATCTGATACGATTGAGCATTTATCGATATTTTCGATCATTTCGATAATTTTTAGACATCCTCCTGAGCTTCCTATCGACATTTGATATTTGTATACCTTGCCGAAGTTATTGTCTATGTAAAAATTGACTTGGGTTTTCTTTCGAAATTTTCAATTGCAACTAAAAATTGTAAGAAAGATAAGAAATTTAATTCTTTTCGAACACTTATTATGGCGAACACTTATTAAGCACTTAAAAATATCCTACAATGTGTAAAAATTAAAAATATATACATATATTTTATGTAACTAAAAATAATTGTAAAAAATTAAGTTTAATTTATACATTTTTCATCGCATTTATAAGTTTGTTCAACGCTATATATTTTTAAGTAAAAATAGCATTTTCTACTATAACCTAAAAATCAGGTCTCAGGAGCTTATGTTAATATCACACAGTAAAGAAGTAAACGTGGAATCGTATTTTTAAAATTCAATTTCTCAGAAACTATTGGACCGATTTCGCTCAAATTTTGCATATTGCCATATAAAATTACTTTCTTTGACATTATGTAAGAAACTGTATACCTTACAATTCAAAACTTTCGTGATTACTATTAAATAAAAAATAAGAAATTATGAATATTTGTAAAAAAGTTTTTTTTGTATGGAATTATGCTTGCATAAGCAAATTTTATAATTGTGTGCAACTTTTTTTAAATATCCAAAAGAGGTTTCGGAGTACGCAAAAAATAAAATTAACTTTTAGGTGTCCAAACTTTGGACTACTTTCCTGACCAAACTATTGGGACCATATTTCCAGGATTGAGACTGTCCCCTATATTTACGGGGTCAAAAATCCGAATCCGTCGGAAAAAAGGTAGGTTTATTCAGCGAAAGTGCATTTTTGTACTCATAATTTTCCATTTTTTTTCTCTCTTTTTTTTGCTGTGTCCAGGAAAAATTAATTACATTTAAGTTAAAATTTCTGCATCCTAATATCTGAAAATGGAAAGTATTCCTTCTTTTTTAAATTTCGAATTAATCCTTAAAGCTTTTTTTTTTTGAGGGGGGAAGGAGAGGCTTTTTTTTTCAATTAATTTCATTTATACCGTCTTGGAATGTTAACAAAAATATTGTCCTATGATTTGTTTTCAAAGATTTTTTTCTTTTTTAATATTCTATATTCTAACATGGATAGCATTAATCTAGAAATATGTCTACTTTTATGAAGAAGTATTTATTATTTTTTAGAAATATGTAAGTATGACATAATGAGAATATGACAAATATGAAATATGTCATTATTGTATTATAAAATTTTCTAAGAGAAAAAAAAGAAGATTATCGCAATATTTTTAATATGTAATCATTACAATTATAAAATTAATAAATATAATAAATAAAATAATAAAATTAAAGTAATTGCAATGTTTCATTTTTAACATTGGAAATAATGAAGTTTTTAGTGAAAAAATAAATTAATGCTTCAAAAACACAGTATTATTGGTATAGTAATAGATACATTTCTAAAGCTTCGCATTATAATTGTTGCATTAAAAATGTCTTTTTATTTTAGATAGGTAACGAATTTCGCAAACTTAAATAAATTCCAAAATAAACAAATAAATTACATGTTTTAATTTTGGATTAAAAGTATAAGGAACAATGCTACGGTTTTACCAAAATCTTTTAATCAAATATTATTGAATCGAATGATAATTTAAACAGAAATCGTAATTCTGTAAAAAGTCGAAATAATCTTTCGAAACCAAAATTAAAAACCAGTCCTTAATTCTTTTCCTGAATTTAATTGTCCTTAAACTAAAAATGATGTTATTGCATCAAACGATTTTTTAAAAATCAAAATCATTGTAATTAAATGAACTATTTAGTTATAAAAATTTGACGTGAAACCGACATCACTTTACGTTTAATGGGAGATGCTATATTAAGGATTTAGTTCAAGACAACGCTTGAAACGGTGAGAGGAAGGGGAAGATTGTCGACGTCAAGATCTACGTCATCACTAACCCTGTCTATAAATGGAAAGAGGTGATATACTCAAATATCCTCATATATATCCTCAGCGGTAGATGGATCATGGGTTAGAGTCCCCTAGCTGTCAGACTAACCATGGGAGGTTTTCGTGGTTTTTCTTTCTATGTAAAGCAAATGCGGGTTAGCTCCATCAAAAAAGTTCTCCACGAAAGCAACTTTTCTCTCATTACTTGATCCAGGAGTTCCCTTGTCTTCTGGATTGGGTTCAAAATGACAAGGCTACGGAGTTGAACATTGTTTATCGTAAGCCCAAAATTGAGTCGGCCGTTCAAGGACGCTTATGAAATAAAATTACTTTTGAAGTTAATTTCTTTATTAATGTTAGTTTATTTTTACTAATAATATACACAAAAATATGAAATACTCTAAAAAATTTTACATGATGGTTTGATCTCACATAGAGGAGATGGAAATGTATAAGATTTGAAATTAAAAGTTTTTAGAGAAATAATTGTTCATCAGTTTCTCAAAAAATGTCTTTATTTCTTTTGTTTTTTATACACTTCTAAAATATTTAATTTATTATTTTTTTTAGAAGAAATGCGAATAAGTTTAAGCCCTTTTCATTTCTTATTTTAATTCTAAATAACTTTTTCAACTACGCAAAAACAAGATGATTAATTTTTTAAATCTGACAAAAGTTTTAAAACGAGTGTTTTAGATGCAGAGGTAAAAGCAAAATGAAACGACATAAGTTGATTAATGAAAAGAAAATATTCATGCAAAAAGAACACGATTATCCTCTAAAAATAAAATCCATCATAAGAATAAATTTCTCTAAGAATGAAATCCATTATATAAAAATAAAAGAAGTAATCTAAAGGGCATTTCATAAACATTTTAATTTAGCATAATGAATGATTCCTTTAGAGAAGCTTAACTAAAAGCAAAACATTAAATTTAAATGTTATTAAGTATAGTAAAATGGTCTTATCAACAAAATAATGAAGCTGTAGACAGTTTACGAATTTTTTCCCCATCACTTTCGATTACTTTGCATTAATTTTTTCTCTCCTTTTGGTACACTAAAAAATAATTGCAACTAAGCATGTTATTATACAATACTTGTTGTAAGTGCTTGGAGTTACTTTTAATAGTGTTTATCAACGTTCTACCTGACGTAACACGTGTATCGGAAGGTGATGGAAGCCGTATGGATCATGAATTCTGACGTCATCAGAGAAGATTGGAAAACTAGCTACGCGTTTTAAGGGGCGGGGCTAATCGAGGGATTTTAAATCTTAATAACAAAATAACTAGTTAACCCACTGAAAGGAAATTGGAGTCTCGTTTTAAAAAATAAAAAATTATCACGCAGGTTCGTTATTGTCATTAAACCGTCAAAACTAGTGTGCTGTGTTGATGACTTATCCTTCAATTGCTTATTGCTTTCGATACTTGATGGCCACGTGGAATTTGTAACATCTCTCGAGAAATTAGGTAAGTTTCTTGGGAAATTTATTACTATTAGTTTTAATTAAACGTATTTTATCAGATTTATTTTAAGTTTATTTGAGTCCAAATACTTTTACGAATTCCGCTTTAAATTATGACGTCGTTATTAATAATGCATTCTAATTAGCCAGGATTAACAATTCACTTTTGTTTGTTTTGAAGATAATTTGATTTCTTTTAGTTACTTTAGTCATTATTCCTGCTTAAGTGTATCATTTTAGTTTAAATCAGGGTTCGTTATTGTATTGATACAAAATATTTTGTTCTTATTCGTTCTGATTTTTGCGTGCAGTCTAACTTTTACGACTACAAGAGCGGATGTTAAAATAATAAATTTTAAGAATCAAAAGATTGAGATTTTCAGTATAATATTTTTTTTAATCTTAATAATACTAGTAATTAAACATTTAAAAATTGTTCAAGCTGTTAATATTGTTTCAGATTTTTGTCTTTTTATGAAAAATAAACTCAGCATTTTTGCTGTTCAAATTTTTGCTAAATATATCCAATTGCTAATTGGAAAGAGGAGTTAAAGATAAATCTATAAACATTTTTGGTAAAAATATTTTTCTCTTGTCCGTTCAAGTTGCAATGAACCCGTTGTTTTTCATTTCTTATACTTTTCATTTCATTTACTGCAAAACCGAGAGTTCTTTTAAATGTCAATTTACTTTAATTTATGGTTCAGTTTCCTAGTTTTTTTGATGATCCTTTTTTCTAGGTTACTAAATTTTTTTAAATCTAAAAGCCTAATTATTCCTCTCTTTTTTATAATGATTTATAGCCAACCTACGTTTATTATTTTAGCTCATTTTATTCTTTAAAACATAGTACTTAAAATACTTTAAACATAATTTCCTTTGTTTTTGTGTAATTAAATGTTCAATATCACATTTTATTGCTTCTTACTGTTTTTAATGTTATTGATTTAATCCTTTGTGGGCTGGGAATTTCACAATGATACCAATAATACGAGCAATAACACAAACCACTAAAAAGGCAATAGTTTTAACCTGCATTCTTTTTTTTAAATTACCTATTTTAAGTTGTGTAAGCATTTAGATAAAGCAGATCTCATGTTGCATGTGTATGTGATGATCACAAAACTTATAGCTTTCTTTGCTAAAATTTTTAGTTCATTTTTTTTCAGACAATTTAAAAACTTATTACGACACTGTTATTTATAAATATAGAAATTGTACAATCTGGAATATTATTGGTTTAATAAGCTGCTTCAAAAAGAATTATTCATATTTCAAAGACATGAGTTGGAGTTTGGAAAATGCCTTGTTATCTTCAATTATAGAAAGATATCAATTTTCAAAAATCTGTGATTTCAGGATAGTTCAGAAATACTCGAGCAATCTCAATACTACTTTTATGGGGTAGATTGTGATTACTTCATTGTTTGTTCCTATTTCTATGTGCTTATTTCTCATCTTTCAAATCGAAAATGTTTTAACATGAATTAAAATTTCTCCGAGAAAAATTTTCTCGCGAAGTAAGTTTTTATATTTTTTGAAAGGGTCACCCAAGAAGAAGCTCTAAACATTGATTAACATTTATAAAAATTAAATATTTTAATTTTCAAATATAATATTGATGTCTGTAATAGTTTTTAACACACAATCTAAAAAAATATTTTCTTTACACCGAAGTTTATTGTATTACTATTGTGAAATATTTTTAGTATCCCCTTATTCCCAAAGTCTGAATTCTAAGAATTACCCCTCCATACTGCAGATCTGATTGGATGGAAATTTTGACTAAATCTATCAAGCAATTTATTTCTGAGTTTTTGTCGTAAGTAAATTATACTTGTACAAGGAGGATTTTTCTTTGGAGCACTTTCTGGGGAACACCTTTCTTTGAATCTAGGTCCAATAGATGTAACTTTTTGTGTTTTAATTTGTGGTAAGCTTTTGATTACTTTTTTATACTTATTTTTAGTCAGAAAGGGAAAAAAAAGGAGCCAGACTGTTAATTTTTATAGGGATAACTTACAGGATATATTAATGGTAAACTGTCCAAGGACTCTCTTATCAGCTGAGGAAACACAATCTACTATTATGGAGTCGTGGTGGCTCAGGGGATAGAGCATTTTCCTTCCAATGAGCTGAACCGGATTTGAATCCCAATGATGGCTAATCGATACGAATTCTGCACCCGGTTCGCACCGAGCACAGTGCGGACATAAAATATCCTCAGTGGTAGATGAATCCTGGGTTAGAGTTCCCTTGCCGTCAGGCTAATTGTCGGAGGTTTTTGTGGTTTTCTTCAAGTAACGCAAATGTTGTTTAATTCCATCAAAAAGTCCTCCATGAAGGCAAATTTCTCCCAATATTCGATCTAGGAGTTCCCTTGTCTTCTGGATTGGGTTCAAAATTACAAGGGTACGGAGTTGAACATTAATACTCGTAAACCCAAAATTGGGTCGGCTGTTCTTATGAAATAAGATCTACTGATATGACAGACGGCATAAAGTGAAAATAGCACTATAGCCATGGATATTAAAGAACTTAGTTTGGAGCACATTTTAGTCTTGGGGTTTTTGACGAGATTCTTTCAAGTTTTAAACTTATTCGGTTTAACCTCCTAAATTAAATCAAGTGAAATTTTAAATTTAGTTAATTTTTGGTTAAATTTTATATCTGAATGATAAAATTTCCCTTTGGGGGAGTCTTAGTCGTCAGTCAAGAATTATACTTTTACTCAAGATTAATATTGCCCATTGTGTTCTTGTAAGTAAATGTTTTAGCTGTCATCTACGTTTATGATGCTATAGATTTTAAAGCAAACAACCTTGTAAACGTTACGATTGAGGTTTGTAGTTTTTCTGTGAATAAAATGTATTTTCATTAATTTATTTTCATTTTTTTCTACTTTTTTTCTACTTTTAGACATGTATTTCGTTTTTAAAGATTAAGTTATAAATAATTTTGTACTAATTTTGCAGCAAAAATTCGAATATGTCAGAGGAGAATAAAACTTCTTTTATGATGTTTCAAAATTTCTATTTATTCAAGTTTTTTCTATAATGAATTTTGTTAGGATTAAAAGTGAACAAAACTGCTATATATATATATATATATATATATANCCAATGTGCAGAACTACCTGTTAAAAGGACGTGTTTCAGACTCTCAGAAATACCTACTAAATAAACAAATATCATATATATATATATATATACACAAAAAATGATTGATTTTCTAGTATTTAGACTATTGTGAAAGAAACGGAGATGTCGCATGAACAACAACTAAAAATAGTAGGTCTGTAGGTATATATAGGTAGGTCTATTTGTATTGTGAATCTTTTTTAAGGGAATTTAATATAGAAATGAATTTTGTCAAAATATTTTAAGATTTTCTAGGTCTGGTAGATATAAATCCTAAACTTGTCCGACATTGCACGCGTGTAAGGGTTTATATATTTCTACATAATGGTTTTAGAATGACTTTCGATATTGAACTGAGATTGGCGTGTATATATATTTTACAATATTGGTCCTAGAATGGCTTTATATAGGACAAATATTTATTTCTATATAGGATGCTTATAGGTTTACAGTATAGGACCAATATTGGGGTGCCTAATTTGTAATATTGGTCCAATATTAATATCTGCATATTAATATCTATAATAATGTATCCGTAATATTAATATCTATAATAATGTATTCGTAATATTAATATCTGCATATTACATTTAAAGACGTCTATAGGACTAATATTAATATCTGTATATTAATATCGGTAATATTAATATATCTGCAGCATTAACATCTGTATATTACATTTAAAGGTGTCTATATTTCGTGATAATGATCCTAGAATGGTTTTGAATATTGAACAACAATTCATTTCATATAAAGAGCCTTTTTCGGCTTACAATATAGAAATAATATTGGGATGTCTATATTTTGTAATATAGGTCCTTGATAGAAATAAATCTCGGTTCATTTTTGAAAGCTATTCTGGTATTAATATTAAAAAATAAAAATACCCTTGGTGCATGTTCTGATGGGACCAATTTTGAACCCAACGGGGGTCAATATAAAATTGTTGCTAGTGAAGATGAAAGAGCTCTTTATAAATAAATTATCTTTTAATAGTTAAATCATTCAAGAGCGGTCATTATTGTTTTTTTGTGTGGTTTCCGAGTGACGATATTAAATTGAATGAGCTCAACGGAGGGGAAAAGTGGGAGAGTGAGGAAATCACGTAACCCTGACGCTCCTGTTCTAGTTGCAAAGAGAGTTGCATTCTCTCTTTTAGTCAATAAACTAAAAGTGCTCTAAAGAAACTTCTTTGACTATTCCCAGGTCGTTCGCAACACTTTCTGCGTGGTTTATGAACAACGAAATGTCACTAGGTTTTAGAACCAGATGAGATCTATTTACAACGCTGTATCGGTTACAAACGATTGCAAAATCTGCTTAAACATGCAGTTAAATTTTTATTCCAATCAGTTTGTTGATAAATCTGAATTATTTGACTTATTATTTCAGATTATCTATCAGAATTAGTTTTTTATTGTGTGTTTAATAATTAATTATCCAAAATATATAAGCATAAAAAATAAGGTACCATTTAATGATTTAGGAGGTGGCGGTGGTGGCATCATAGATGATTTTTCTTGGTCTTTTGACGATCCATTACTGTTAATGAGATTGCCATTGTTGTTGTTGTTGTTGTTATGTGCGTTACTCGACTGATTATTGTTTGACTTTTGGCTGGATTGTTGGGCTTGTTTTTGCTGATTTAAACGTTCTTGTTTCCGAAATTTGGCTCGGCGATTTTGAAACCATACCTAAAATATAAAATTCATATTACTATGATAAAACTCTATAGACTCATAGACTGCGAAACATATATTCAATAGCATTTGGTAGCCATAATCTATTAAATTTAGCTTACCATACTAAATAGTTTAATTAGGGGCAAAATAGTTTAGTCTGGCGCTAGTTCAGACCCATTAATATTATATTCAATAGCATTGGGTAGCCACAATCTATTAAATTTAGTTCACCATGCTAAATAGTTTAATTAGGGGTAAAATAGTTCAGTCAGGGGGTAGTTCAGACCCATTAATATTATATTCAATAGCATTGGGTAGCCACAATCTATTAAATTTAGTTTACCATACTAAATAGTTTAATTAGGGACAAAATAGTTTAGTCAGGCAGTAGTTCAGATCCATTAATATTATTTTGACTTTTTACACATTTGACTTTTTGTGAATTTTCCGAAATTTATAAACATTCGAAGGATTTTTTGCCTAAAATCATAAAATTTGTTTATCTGGAGAAAATTCCATGTAAAACTAATTTTGAATATTAATTTATTATTTTTTTTTATTTAATTAATTGTAGTCGAAAAAGGTTTGGACTGTTAGATATGCAAATTTTATCATCACTTTAAATAACGGTAATTTTTATTGACGAGTGTTGAATGAATATGACTTTTTAAAATTTATTAATTCCGAAACTATTCAACCGATTTCGTTTTGTGATTTGTCATTTAAAAAATTACTATTTAAAATCATCATTATTGTCATTAAAGTATTGTTATTTTAGTCCTTTTTAAAATGATATGAAAATTTATGCACCTTTCAACTAAAAATTAAGCTAATTAATAAAAAAAAATAATAATTATAAAAACTATTTTTTAATCAGAATTACATATGGATTAGCAAATTTTATAATTGAATGCAGAATTTATTTATTTCCTTGCTAAGTTTTTCGAGTTGTAGCTAAATATACAAAACAATTAAATTTAAGGAGTCAAACTATGAGGCCATATTAACTAGATTGCATATGCCTTCTTTATTTTAAGGGTTAAAATTCAATTCGGTCGGGGAAAAAAGGATGTGTCTGATTTCGAAACTTACAATATTGTCTACAGTAATTAATAATCATATTTAAAGTCGCCCCTTTAAACCATTAAGATTGAGTCTTGTACATGAAGATTAAAAGTTATTCAGTGTTCTGCTTTTTTCCTCCTTAGCTCACTGTACACGAGTTTCTCCGAAAAACTCCAAAAATGTGGTTTTAAGCATAATATAATTCTGAAGGCTTAATTGTGAATATTAAATTAATAAAACCATAGCTTTATGTTTCAAGCACTTTTCCCTGTATTAAAAGAAAAGCAGATGCTTTTCTTCCATTAAAACAAAGTCTTACGATGTGAAAATCCGATTATTAGATCAAAAGTTATTCAGGTCTGTTTGCTGATCAGAGCAGTTGGTTATAATAATAATGGCAAATTGTGGCATACATGTTTAAATTTATAGTTTTTAAGTGCGAATATGTATCAGTTCATAAAATGATTGTTGAGAAACAGGCTTTGATTTGCAAGCCCATAGAAAGTATTGTTATTTGTTAGAAAATGTGCTTGTTATTTGTTAGAAAATGTGAATAATTTAAATTTGACGTCATTTATTTTAACAGCTAAAACCAGTTTTAAAGAAGGAGAATGAAGGATCTGCAAATCAAAGCAGACAAGAGGTTAAGCTCCACACATCGGTAAACGAAAAACCAATCAGACAACGAAATATTAAAGCCCCGAAATATTATAGACATTTGAATTTACTTTTGCTTTTACAGATATAAATCACGAATATTAACGATTTTGGTTATTAAATTTATGAATATTTGAAGTAAACGATTCATATGTATGGTTTACAGTTTAGGGCAAGCAAAGTTTAAATTCAAGTAACTATATAAGCAGCAGAATTAGATAATTAATTGAATTTAAACAATGAACGAAAATCGATATATGGAGACATTCGTTGTGGAAATCAGTAAATAAAAGCAAAAATTACGGAAATATCATTAAAAATAAGAATGATTTTTGTATTTAAAACAGAGCAACAATTTACATCTATATATAATCAATGCTAAAGCCAAGAAATGCTGGAAAATGTAGAAAATTGACTGGGGATATTTGAGCATTTCAAATCGATTATAGTTAAATTTTTCAATTTTTTTTTTCGCATTAGTTCATTTTGAATTGTATAAATTATTTCTGTGCAACTTTTACAAAGACAAAAAGCTTTAAAAAAGAAAATAAATTCTGAAATTTACTTTCTGTTTAACATTACCAAAAAGTAAAGAAATATTGGAATTATTAAATTTTTCCAACTGGAATTCTATCAATAAGGAAAGGATTTCGGATTATTACACCAGATAATAGTAAACAAGTATATCTAAAAAACTATATAACATAGTAGCTACAATTGCAATTGTTTTAAAGGTGAAGTTCGGTTTCGAACAATCAGTCCGTGGCATAAATAGCTTTTGACAACAATGACAGCACTGCGCATATTGTTCGTTCACCAGGAGTTGGCTCCTCCTCTTTGGATGCTAAGTTCATTTCAGTGCGGGGGAGATAAGAGAAAATATCCCTTGTATCAGAGACAATCAGATTCCCCCATCACTTTATCGTCCGCTGCTATACCTTTCGTAACTCTAGCAATATATTTTAGCTTTAAAAACTGCTGTTTTTCGAAAAATGAAATATTTATTACATAATATTTTTTAATTAATGAAATAGTTTAAACCAGATTTTACATTATTATGTAAAATATATATTCATTTCACTGATAAAAATCTTAATTATCATTTTCGTTAGTAATACGTAATATTATTGATGATTTCTATTACTATTTTTTTAAAGTATTTTTGCGAGTCATATACTATAAGATATATCTTTATTAATGATTCGGTCGAATAGTTCCTGAGAAATCAAATTTTAAATAAACCGTATTTTTAAAACTTCGATTTCTCAGAAACTATTGAGCGGATTTCGAACTATTGGACCTATAAATTTGTATTTTGCTACGTAAAATTACATCTTTTAAAATGATATAAGTAATGTTATACCTTACAATTGGAAATTTTTTTGATTATTATTTAATAAAATAAAATTTAAAAAAAACAGTAAATATTTAATAAAAGTTATATTTTGCATGGAATTAACTTTGAATATACGAATTTTATGATTGTATATAAGAAATTATCAATTCGCTTAAGTTGAATTCCAAGCATAACAGAGGGGAAATCACGCAAGTATTTTATTCTAAAAAATATATTAAATATTTTTGAAAACAGAAATTCTACTAGAATATGCTACTTTAGGGTGCAATGTTAAATTAATTGGCATAAAATAATAAAAGAGTCTCATAATAAAATTGCAGGTTAATTAAATGTAGTTGTAACAGAGGGGACAAATAAAATTAATCATTTTTGACATGCGTTGTTATTCGTGCTAAATTCTGTGATTTGGACCATCCTAAAAATTATCGGTAATTTTTTTTTAATTATTACGATTCAAGGTAAAATAAATTATTATAAGACTTTTAAAATTCCAACCCCCTTTTTTTAAGTCCTAATAATGCATCGTAACAGAGAGGACATGGAATGTAACGGAGGGGACGTCTTACAAATTTGACAAAAACTTAAAGGGAAATATCACTGTTAAAAGTGACTCTTCGGTTATTTAAAGTTACAGTTGGCAGAACTGCTATAATTGAAACCCGTGCTACATCTTTGTAGTTGGATTTGAAAGTTTTTATTTTACCAGACCCTGTTTAACAAAAACTCAAGTGCATTATTTGCTTCCTTCTCAATTTCAGTTATTTGGGCAACAAAATTAACTACCCAATTTTTTCCTAGAACTTTTTACACTTGCAAAACTATCTATAGCAACATCAAAAGAATCCCAGTTTTTCAAATGGTGACGGGTGTACATTAAATATGTCGGGTTCCAAAGTGCGCCAAGTTCCCAAAACAAATCAATACCTCTGGGTGTACTGATCGAGGAGTTCCCTTGTCTTTCGGATTGGGTTCAAAATTACAAGGCTATGGAGTTGAACATTGGTAGCCTTAAACTCAAATTTGGGTCGGCTGTTCAACGACGGTTATAAAATAAAAAGTCAATTGAGTGATTGTCGCAAGTTGCTATATTTAGTAATTCTATGTAATTATTAGGCAAACAACTGTGATTTTAATAGAAAATTCACATTTTCGTGAATAGCACATTCACATTTTATATGGTGTTTCACCTACGCATAAAATATGGATAGTTCGTAGTACAGCAAAACTTAAATTTGCCAATTTTTATGTTTGGATACATCTGCTTTGATACTTGATATGCTTCTATCATGGTGCACATTCGGCTTTGCGGACTTTCTGCCCATTTTCTTTGACAATCATGCACTCAGCTCTACCAGAAGTCCGGTAAGAAAGTTTATCAGATGAGTAGAAATTCATAAATTTTTTTTTTGTTTCATCAGAAACTTTGTTACTAGGCATTTCTTTTGTTTTGGTAGTAAGGTTATAGAGTATGCATAGAACAGTACAACGTTTTCTTGGAGATACAGGTACTGAACGGTTTGCTTTTTTAATAGCTTTCCCCAATGCCTAAGGAATATTATAAAGAGAATATTCTTCCCGAATTTCTACTGCTCGTATCAGTGCCGTTTTTATTTTTCCTTTGTCTTCTTTTCTTTCAATTTAACTATTTCTTCGTTAAGTTTTTTTTTCTTCAAAATACCTCTGTTATCATGAATTTTCATTTTATATTCTTTATTTTTCTTCTGACAAACATCTTTTTTTTTGTTGGAACATTCTAGTTCTATATTCTCTCATTTTTTCTGCTGCTGTTTACTCCATATTGATTACTCACTTAAAAAACTTTTAATTATAAACTAAACACTCTATTAAATGAAAATGGCACATCTTTGTATGAAAAGTGTGCTCTAATAGTGGAGGAAATGTTTTAAACTAGTTGAGTCAAGATGCATTTACA